AAAAAGTAATCGGATTACAGTAACGCGTTACAAGTAACACGTTACTGCCCATCTCTGGTCTTAACTTATATCCACAAGTGTGGGAATTATTTTCTCTGACATGGATTATCACTAATCTCAGACTAAATACTTTTCCCAGTTGAAGTTTAATTGAAAGTTTTCATTTAGTCTAAGACTATGTTTGATCCATGACTGGGAAAAAGGCTAAGTGCTACTTATTTCACTGCTAAATCTGTTCTAATACCATCTAAAGAATAGGGACTGTTTACTACTAACATGTTCTTATTCCTGACTTTCCTAGAGTAGCTTTGCATGATTCACAGTTCAGAATAATCCTTACATTACATCATTTTCTCTGGGATTGATAAAGTATTCTGATTTATACCATAATAATAATAAAATAGTAAAACAGAAAAACCATCTTAAGTTTTGTCAAGAGCATGTCAAAGCAACAGGAGGCAATATAACTAACCGTGAAGAAACGTTGACCAATCCAGTCCACATACAATAATACATTCTGACATGAAAAGAGGAGATAAAAGCCCTTTTTTTTGGAGATTATTTTTTAGGGGCACATTTGTGGTGAAGAAAGTGGAGAGAGAGATGGAAGGCACAAACCGTGGTCATGTGGCATACCTGCTCACCCACTGAGCTAAACTAGCACCCCGAAGGTGCACACCTTTGATGCTGACTTTGTTCGTGTCTAAATGCAGAAACTGAGTCTTTGAAAATCTTCACTGTGGCAGGAGTTTGTGAAAAGCTCAGTTTTCAGTGTCCAAAATGTCGTTCGCGTGTCGACAAAAGTCCACAGCACACAGAAAAAGTGCCAAAATACATGTGTACACGTACAAACAAGCCATTATAGCCCCTCCCCCTTTATGCCAACTTTATTCTCATTGGCTGATCCTCGCAAACAATATGTGGGTGGGGTTTCTGTGCTCATAGTCAAAGCTGTGTGCCTTAAATGACCATAATAGAGATATCTAATCTCTATGACATCATAGAGAGCCAAGATTGGAAAAAAAATGTGTGAAACTGAAGTTTAGGCCAGTGTGCCGTCTGAGCTTTTGTCTCACAGGGATTACGTCTACATTCTTTGACCTTATTATTTTAAACCTTAGCCATATTTAATATGAAAATCCATCCCAGTTACAGGTAATATGAGACAATCAAAAAGGAAAAAGCACAGTGGATCTAATTTAAGTGTAGATAAATGGTATGGAGTTCCCCAAGACTCCATTTTGGAGCCTCTTCTTTTTAATGTCTACATAATCCAGTAGCCTAGAGCACTAGCTGCCACATTTTAGCATAAATAATAGAAGTTTAATAAATCTTTGAAGTGAAGCAGAGCAGCTTTATTTATGCAGTGGCTGCAGCTCTCGGTGTGCAGCTCATCAAGATTTATTGCTCTTATAACTGGAGCTTTATGGAATATGGAGCATTTAGTTTTCATCTCTTTGTGACTCCAAGGCATGCATGTTTGATATGCTCTCTGCTTTCCAGGACAAACTCCTGGAGGAAATGTGGAAGCAACAGGACAGTCTGGAGGGTCCCACGTCTGCCACACCAACAGCAGAGATGTCCACCTCGCCCGAGGCCGGTGGTGGCGACGGCGGATCAGAGGACAATTCAAAGGACAGCAATCCCCTGTTGGAGCGGCTCAGAGCGCTCGAGGTAATAAAGCGGATTGCACGGTCCAGTTCTTAGACTTCGTCCACAACTTTTCACTTTCACCACGTCAGACTGAGAAATATGTTTAATTAAAAGTATTACATTTGATGGTAGAAATAAACAGGTGGCATTGAATGAACATAACTCTGACTGCTGTATCTTTATGTAGGAAGGGTTATTGAGTACGTGTTAATGGTTGCAAAATTATGTGGTTGTAGGCCACCCCTAATGCTTTCACCGTGACCGGTTAAGAATATAAACTATGTGTTAGTTTTTCCCACTCTCAAAAACAGTGAGGTCAACAGCAGGTCAGCAGAGTGTGCTGTTATAGCTTCAAGATGCCATTCACAAGGTGTCAGACAACATTATGTGGTGATGAAATGTAAAAGTGTTAGCCGAAGCCTAGGGTGCTTTACATTATTAAAGAAATCAGAAGAAAAACTCAAATCTCCCAGAAGCAGGGAGCATTAAACACATAGTTTTTAAATGTCTATGTTATTCAAGTCAGCCTCTTAACACAGAGTTCCTGCACCATTATTAAAAGAAAACGAAAGCAATGCTTCTTAAGACCTTCTTACGCCATAAGAACCCAGATCCATTTCTCCTTTAAATTATATAGAACATAAAACAGAGCAACCATGAGATTTCTGACATCTGGGCAGAAAACACAAGTAACGTAAAAAAGTCACTTGAATTTAGGATTTTCAGTAATCGTCAGCAGGGTTTCTGTCATACCCAGCAGCTGCTGGCCCTAAAATTAGCATTGGTTCATCTTATTTTCCTGTTTTAGGAAAGCCATTTGATACTGGCGCTACATTTTTTTTATTTTGGTAGGTAAGTCACATTTATATATGTGCTATATATAGTCAGCTGGAGCTGAATAAGTTAAATTTGATGGGTGGTGCATAGTTAATTGAAAACAATTAAAACTAAGTCTTGTAAACCGTTTGGGTGGGTCATTATGTGGGACACCACAGAGCCTGTGGACAATAATGGAAAGAGTTCAGTTTCTCTGTGATTGTTGAAGGTTTTTAAGTCCTTGTATGAGCACTGCTGATAAATAAAGTTAAAGACAAAAGTGGCATCGTTGGTTTTCTTGTGTTATAAATAATAGTTTTGTTGATCTTTAGAAAATCCAGAGTTTTACCAATAGCGGTTCTCACAGATAAAAACAAGATGAAGCTATCATTAAATATAAAAATATTTTAGTAGTATAGCACCCCCTAGTGTTACAGACCATGTAATTACACCCTAAAATTTATTTGATACGGATTCACTAATATATAGAAATTATAGTCAGTAGGAATATTTTTAACCTATTTAAAAACTATTTAAAAAATTTCCTTTCATTTCAAAATTGAAGACTTTTTAATGACCCACGGGAACACTACATTAACTAGGTTACACGTTACCTGCTCAGATTTAGATTTAGGGTCACATTTTTGTATGGCATTTTCAGTTATTCCGCATATTCAGAAGAAAATCCTGTTGTCCAATGGCATGTACGAGACTTGAAATTAACACATAAATCTTCTAGTTTCTGAAACAATGCTTTTTTAACATGTGGACAATGTGCAGGCATAACCCCACCCCTACATGGTTTGCTAGTAACCTGGTGGATGTTAAGGGGTTAAATTGAATTGCTTGCAAATGATAATTAACAGCCATTATATGTTGCTCAGAGCATCCAAGTCTGTATGGTGCTTTCATTTTTATTTTTTTTTAAAGCAGAAGAAAAACAAGCACACACATCGTGTTTTGTAAGGCCTCTGTCCATCTTTGAATAGGACAACAAAAGAGGCTCTATTATGTTGAAGCGCGGTCCTAAGGGCACAGAAACTGCAGAAGACAAAGGAGTTATTCATATCCAGGAGGTGATAATTAAAAGGCTGCCAGGGTAGTTAACATTTGGAGTCAGTGTTCCAGTGAATGTACAGTATGCACCCCCTCCCCCCGTTACATCTTCCCTGCTGAATAGGTCATAGGACTCGCCATCTGCTGAGATCTCGGGCAGCCATTATTGATGGAGCTTCTACCCACTGAAAAGCCTCACAGAAAAAAAAACAGAGAAAAAAAGAGTGAATTCACTCGGCTTTGCTTGTGTTGTTCTGTTGGCTGTTCAGCACGGTCTCACAGCAGACCATGAAATACTCATGAAATTTAATCTGCTGCTGCTTCAGGGATACAAATTCTTCTTTTTAATGGGGTTACTGATGATACGTTTCTTTCTTTTTAAAAATTTAAACGAAGACAGTTTTCAAAGTTTTCAATTTGTTTTTTAAACCTGTTGTATCAAGAAATGACTTAAACAGAAGCTGTTTGACAAACTGAAGTAGGCAAAAAGATCTGAAAAAGCAACACATCTATCAGTATGACAAGAGTTATAAAACCATTTCTTAGTCGTTGGATTCTGTTGCACTACGGTGGGAGCCATTATCTACAAATGAAGAAAACTTGGACTGGTGGTGAACTTTCACAGGAGTGGCCACAGGAGTAACCGTTTGACCAAAATTATTCCAAGAGCACATCAACGAGTCAGGAGGTCAAGGTCACAAAAGAACCCAGAATAACATTAAAGAACCATAGGTTTATCATGTCTCAGTTAAGGTCAGAATTGATGATTCAACAATAAGAAAGAGACTCTGCAAAAATGGAATCCATGGGAGAGTTCAAGACAAAAATCACTGCTGACCATAAAGAACACAAAGGCTCATCTCACATTTGGGAAAAACCATCCTGATGATCCCAAAGACTTTCAGAAAATATTCTGTGGACTGACAAGAAAAAGCTGAGCTTTTTGGAAGGTTTGAGTCCCATTACATCTGGATTGAAAAGAACATCATACCAGCAGTCAGACATGGTGGAGGTAGTGTAATGGTCTGCGGCTGCTTTGCTGCTTCAGGATGACTTGCCGTAATTGATGGAACCATGAATTCTGCCTTTTACTGAAATCATGGTTCTCTTGAAGGAGAACGTCCAGCCATAAATTCCTGCCTTGAAGCTCAGCTGCTCTTAGCCTATGAGGCAGGACAATCATCTGAAACAAAACAGGAAGTCTGCCTGAAACCAAAATCTGAGTGGCCAAGTCAAACCCTGGAGGTAAATAAGAATTGAGCTTGAAAAACCTCAGATGTAGGTCGAGGCTGAAATACAAGCAATTCTGCAAAGAAGATCAGGCAAAAAATTCCTCCGCAGTGATGTGAAAGACTTGTTGCCAGTTATCTCAAATGCTTGATTACAGTTTTTGCTCCCAAGGGTGCCGCAACCAGCTAATAGAGGCCAACAAGGGGGGCGATTACTTTTTCACACAGTTTGGATAATTTATTTCCTTTAACAAATTAAACTGCTTTCTTTATTAAGTCAAGTAATCTTTGCATGGCATAAACATTTGTTTGGTGATCTGAAACATGTAAGTGTGACAAATACGCAAAAGAATAAGAAGTCAGGATGGTGGTGGATACTTTTTCATAGCAGTGTACAGTATGTGTGTCTAATTTTGCATCCAGCATGAGTTTAGTGATTTCCGGCATCAGTCCATGCAGGATTTGCAGTGATATTTTAGTGAAAGTTAATTTTCCTTGGTAATAACCTGGTCAAAGCCTGTATAACGAGTTTGTCATTAACGACGGTCTTTTAAAATAAAAGAACACCTTAAATTGCATCAATTTTCCTGCCTACTCTGATGACCCTAATGGATGATTCGGAGTGTGTTTTTGTGGCTTTCACGCTGTTCCTTCTTCATGGTGGCTGCCTTTATTTTATCCACATTGTAATTAAACTTTAATGTCAAACTGAAGAGTGAGAGAGAGATGCACATTAGAGAGTTTTCAATTTCGGTTCAAACTATTATCCAGTCATTATGGCACACTTGGGCACCTTCCACATAGTCCACCACAGAAAGTAAAATATTTGCTTTGAAAACCTCCAAAAGGTGAGAATATAAATAATAAAAACAGAGTGAACCGACTTTCTTCTAACTGAGGAGAACTGCTGAACTGCTCAGCTCCTCCACCAAATCTGAGTTTTCAGTGAAAGTTGACAGTTAAGTCTGAAACACTGATTGATGTGATGGTTTCTGCAGATCGAACAAGTTAACGGTGCACAAACAAGGACGAGGGAGCCCGACTGTACGCGCGCTGCCAAACATTTACAGCTTTGCAAGTGATTTATCTGTACATGCAGGATCACTTTGTGGGGGTTTAATATGTTTCGCAGATGCAAAAACAATTTATTTCAAGCCAGATTGATTGACACCTATAAACTTTTTTTTTTACTTGCAATCTACCGAATGACACATTAATCCATCAGGCTCATTTGTAAAGATGGTGTAATGCAACTGCAAGAGCAAGTGTGAACTCATAACATAACAGGCTGAAAGACTCAAAGTACAGTACCAGAACTTGGACACGCACAAACGCACAGCTTGTATTTGCAAACACTATAAGACATGCATAGGACTGTATGTACTGCGATACCAACAGATATACTTCATGCAAGTATCAGTATAATGACAATTCAGTCCAGTTCAGTTCATTTATATAGTGCTAAATCACAATAACAGTTGCCCAGTTGCCCAGACATGAAATTTCCCACTCGTGGGACTAATAAAGGTATCTTATCTTATCTATCTTATCTCAAGGTGCTTTGCATTATAAAAAAAAAAACCCCTTCAATAGGATAGAGCAAACCCCAACAATCAAATGACCCTCTATGAGCAAGCACTTGGCGACAGTGGGAAGGAAAAACTCCCTTTTAACAGGAAGAAAGCTCTGGATGAACCAGGCTCAGGGAGGGGCGAGGCCATCTGCTGTGACCAGTTAGGAGCGAGAGGAGGAAGACACACACTGACACAGCCAAGCTGCACAAGACACAGCTGCTAAGTTAGAGCTGGCTAGCTAGGATTCATAGACAGTATGAAAGATGCCCCTCAGTGGTTATGAAGCTTCAAGCTGAGTGTTTTGTCCATCGCCATCTTGTTCTTTAAACCAGGTGTGACCAGCGAGTCTGACGGGTGGACTTCATTTCTAAGTTGACATTAGCCGGCGTGGCTTCCTGTAAATGCTTTAACCAAACGGGGAATTTAGGCAGTTGGAGCAGAAAGTCACAGGTCCCTCTAACAGTCTATGTGAAGGACAAAAGGTCAATGTGACCTCAGTCCTCTTCCAAAACAGTCGGGGGATGTCTCATTTATTAAGTTAGTCAGTTTAGACTTCAGTAGAAAATAAGGGTTTAAAACATGACAAAGCTACCTAACCCACATTTAAATCTCCAAAGTTCCCATTTTAAGAGTCAAGTAAACCGTTTCCTCACACCTGAAGCCGGTAATCAGCATCATTTCAGCCGCTGAAATACTGTGTTGTTTACCTCTGCCTGCTGCACAGGGATACAGGTGGTGTTGATCTGTGTGGGGCGAGTTCTTCTTTGAACTCCGTTCATTCCTGTGATCAGCCATTTCTGTGATCTTCAGTGAACTTGTTGTTCAGAGGAGTTGCCCACAACACTAAGTGAAAACAAGCCAGCTCAGGTGGCCTGGCCTTTCAGATTTACGAGATTAATCACTTGTGTAGAAAGTCGCCCGCTGAGTTCCCAGAATGGTGTCGGGCCTGAACCTCTGTCAGTAACTGAATTATAGCTGAGGCGCCTCAGGTAAGCCTTGCAGACACAGTGAGGGTCTGCAGGATTAAGTTGGGATGCCTGAAATTTAAGACATCGTTCATTTACGACCATCTCTCTCCAGTAAAACCCACAAATCCAAGTGCTTCAGGGAGAGTACTGTCTAGATAGACAGCTCACCTCCATCCAGAGAAAACAGCATAAAGACCTTTAACGTTTCTCATAGCTCTGTAATTAATCACATTTTCTATCCTATATATTTTTGTTTATTTTCTTATTTATATGAGTGTGTTCAGAAATTATTAATGCAGTTTGCATGCGTGCGTTTTGTGTCTGCAGGCGGAAAACTCGGCTCTGTCAATGGAAAACGATAACCAGAGGAAGCAGTACGAACGCTGTTTGGATGAGGTGAGTGCTCCCACACTGCAGAAGATATACAGCATGTGTTTACAATGAAATCACACTTTTGTTTTTCATGAATAATTAAGGCTTATAAGGCTTATAATTAAG